GACCAAGCTGTCAGCTGCTATCGCGAAGCATTGCAGGACGCGTCTTAAGCTGGGTTTGTCCGACCCGTGAGCATTCGTTGGAACCTATTTTGGCGGACTTGTTTGCGCAAAACACGGCTGGCTTGCAGACGGCAGGTCCAAGTTAGGAGCACCAAGGCCGTAATTAGATCAAGAGTACCAACAGCACGAAGAGAATCCTGTGCCATGGCAGATGATGTTCTCATGTCAGGCTTGGAATGACTACCTTATGCGTGGTACTCTGTGCATTTAAAGTTTGCTGCTGTACATCATGTATGTACATGCGCACAGTAACCCGTCCCAGGCAGACTGACAGAATGGTTTGATTTTACAGTTGCTAAAGTCTAAAGTGGCGGCGCAGGCCGCTGTCCATCAGAACATGACGATTTGAAAATGCGGGCTTTAGCGCATGCGCAACTCTGTAGCACAGCGAGCACAAGCCTAAGCCAGGAAGCCAAAGATGACACCGAGTTTGCAGCAACGTACCTGGTCGCTGTTTTGAGTGTCGGGAAATGGGCTCTTTCCACTTTCGTTCTTTGGAATTTTGGATGCAGTTGCGTGCATATCGCCAAGCTCGTTTTGGCAAGGGCTTCATGTTGAAGTAGTTCGTGGTTCCATCCTGAATACACCTGGAATTCCAACACTTCCTGGCCCTTCAGTGGATGGGAGGATTGGACTTGCACGAATTTGGAATCTGGAAACTTGTGGTCGAGAGGATTTTGACAAATCCAAACAGAGTTTCATCCGGGACGTCAGGGCAGGCCCGGGATTGGAACTGCATGGTGTAGAGTGTTCCGGAAGCTGGCAGGAGCGACACGACATGCAAGAATGTTGCCGAAGTTCGATTTCAAGCCAAATCCACAGACAGCGTTATTCATTACCTTTGCCACCGACCCTCGGGTCCGTAGGTTTGCAAGAGAGACCTTGTCTGTGATGTGTAAGAACGGCTAAATGCTTCTCCGCCAGGATCCAATCGAACATTGCTGCGGCATTCGCGACGAAAGGGGACAGCCATGGGCCCCTCCCAAACCCGAACTCTACAAGTCACGAAGACGAGGGTCCGGCTGTGTCCGGCTCGAGGCTGTTGGCTAAATTTGGAGGTGCTGGGCTTTCTTTCCCTGCAAGCTCTGACATCGGGCAGAAGAAGCCCACCCCACGGCACTTCACATGTCGGATTGCTACACCACAGTCAGGATCACCAGAAGGCCCTAGAGGCTGCCAACGAGGTTCGTCCATGACCGTCCATGCGGCCCCGGGCACAAAGGTTTCAAGTCTTGGGTGCCTTGGGGGGGTTACAGTCAGGCATAGTCAGGTGGTGGACAGGCAGAAGAGCTTTTAGTCAGTGCAAATTGGTAGAGGTGCGCACTCACGAGATGCAAGTCGAAGGGTGTCAGCCGGCCTTTTGCCTTTGCGTGCGCCTTCGATGCTGCAGCGTCACGGGAAGGCCATCCGATTGCGCCCCGACTGGGCCAAAGCCCACTCTCGGAAGGGCTTCAGCCTGCCCAGGACTCAGCTTGGCCGAGGATGACCGTCAGCCATCTCAAAGTCCATTGCCTGTCCTTTCTATGGACTGACCAAGTATCCGAGCAAAGGACGCATGTCATAAATTCTTCCTTGGACTTTGCTCCTTAGAAGTGCGCCCGCCTGCAGCTGGCTCGGCTGGGCTCGGTAGCTTTGTTTTGGCCGACTCCACCCCGAGTTCTACAAGGCGTATGCGTCGCTCTGGGATCAGGGTATGGGTGTTCCGGGTTCAGGGAGTCAAAAAGCAGGACTCGAGGATGTGGAGCTTTTATACACAGGATCGCAAAAATGTATATCAGACATGGAATCGTGGCATGTTGCACGGATCTGAAGATGTCCGAGCAATCCTGTATGTTGTCGGATGGGCATGTTCGGGAATGCATGTGTTCCGGTATGTTCCGGTCACTTGCAGCTTCGAGCTGCGATCGTTGTGCCAGACATGTGCAAGCTGCTTCACTGTAGGCTCGAGACTGCTGCCTTTCAGTAGCCCTGTGATTTTTGACGGCTGCACAATGCCACAGGTGCAGATGCCACTACCGGTGTCCTGCCAGAGCGGCACATGCGGCGCAGGCAGGGCGTTCCGCTGGCTTGATGCTAAGCCGGCGAGCACGGTACTCGTAGCCGTATGTGATCCGCAATTCGGACATTTATGCCAACAACCTGATGGCCTCAGTTGCAGCAGCCGCATGTAAGCTACCTTGATGTGTGCAGCGGTATAGTTTTCACCTCCCTAAATCGTATGAGGCCTGTGTCAGGCCTCAGCTCAGGGATTGCTGTGCTCGGCGGTGCACTCGATGAGTGCTCCCTCCGCAGAGCTATTGAGCACATCTCAAAGCTGATTCAGAACCGGGCATCTCCCGCAGGTTTGTTCTCACTGGTGGAGAACCTGCTCGTGCAGAACCTCGGTCTAGAGTCTAGGTGGTGCGGAGTTGATTGGACTTCGATTTCGCTGAAGGGGAAATGGGTGTTCGAGTGAAACTGAAAATTTGGGTTTCTGGCTGCAGACACACCTGGGAGAGTTACCCGTCATGCACGACGGAAGCAGTCAAGGCCAGCATTTTGGATTGTACAAAGCAAGCAAGCCTCCCTGGTAACGCCCTCGTGTTCATGCCCTCAATCGCGGAGGGATTGCCAAAGTACTTCAGCGGGAACAGTGGTTTGTGCTTGGGCAGCAGATTGTGTTCGCCGAGGAACAACAGGCGTGACAGAGAGGAGCTACCAGCATTGTGCAGGCCGGCTTGGTTCCAGAGGCTTCAGCACATGTCAGGGCTAGCGAGGATAATGGTGGGTAAGCTGCCCACTGGGTCATGGCACTGTGCCACGAAACGTGCCCTGCGAGGGTGTTTGTAGAAGCAGCCTGGCAGCCATCTCATGAGACAGGCTCTCGTCACTTATCGTGTCCGCAGACGATGGGGGAAGGACGATGTGTCCTTCGCTCCTTGGCAGTGCTTCTGACATTACCTATCCGAATCCGATTTATCCCCTAAGCGGCGAGCTCCGAGGTGCCTGCGAGGATCTTGATGTCCCCTCTTACATTGTTAGGTCTCAATACAGGCACCGTCACGCACAATTGCCAGAAGCAGTTGCGTCTCCTAATCTCTGTGCGTATGTCTGTCTCTTTGTGTTGTGTGTGTGTGCGTATATATATATATATACATACATACATATATATATATATCTGTGTGTGTGTGTGTGTCTGTGTTCGTTTGTCCGTCTGTCCGTTTCTCCGTCTGTTTGTCCCTCCGTCCGTCCGTCCGTCCGTCCGTCCGTCCGTCCGTCTGTCTGTGTGGTGTGTGTGTGTGTCTGCGTGTTTGTTTGTTTGTTTGTTTGTTTGTTTGTGTGTGTGTGTGTGTTTATGTGTGTTTACGTGTGCCGGCGTGTGCTTGGCTTGCGCATACCGGTTGAAATTTCTCGGCATGAGTTTTTGAAGCCCATTCGCTTGGAGAGCTCCGGTTGGATGATGTCGGAATTCGGCCTCGGGAAGCGAGAACTTTAGGTTTTGCAGCTTCCTCATTTCAGAACATGAAGTGATTGGCGCAGTGATTTGGTTAGGGTCATCGCGACAGCAAGTTGCAAAACATTTGGCCCCACCACTCCTAACTTCTACAGAGCCCGATATATAGAGTATGAACCACCTTTTGCATGCCAAGTAGTCCCTTCACCCTACAAGCCCGAGACTCCCCGAGCTCCAAAGATGTGTCTGAGGCCAGAGAACAAGCCCTACGCAGTAGAAAAGCCGGTGTGCCTGGGTTTGAGGTGGCTGCTTTCGGGTTTAGGGCTCTTCGGATTGTGTCGCTTTTGGAGATTTGTTTGTGGCTTGGACGCCAGGTTGAATGACTGAGGTCGAAAGCTTTGGGCTTCGAGTATGCCAGACTAATTCATCGCGTACATGTGCCAGATGTTTCAAGCACCCTAGCATCATGCCGACGAGGTCTATGTCCATCAGAGTTGCTGTTGTTGACTAGTAACTAGATTTCCTATTCTCCACCTTGAGGCTCAATCTGAAACTTATGCCAGTGACTTGTGTCACATTTGGTCATCTTCTGAAGGCAGCACGAAATTTTCCAGCAAGGAACGAGTTTTCTTCCAAGGCAGGGGGACCTTGTTATCCTCGGCTTCGGCTTCGGCGTTCACCCGGAGTATCAGCCACTGGGGCCGCGCTTGGCACACTCGTGAGGTATGTCCCTGACCGGCGGCTCGATGTGCCCGTGAGATGCACCATGCAACAACATCTTGATCTCGATGAAGTTAGCATTGCCAAGCAGCAAGGGTCGGAGGGGTAGCAACAGCAGGGCCAGCAAAGCAGGGGCATTCTTGTCAGTCGTTGCGAGACTTACTGGTCCAGGGGCGGAAGTGTTGGCTCTTGGCTAGTTTGCACGTGCCTCCAGGTCACCCGCTACTGATTAGTAGCAGTCCGTCAGACTCCCCAGAAGAGACAAATCTTTCGGTTCAAGTAAGCATCGCGAACTCCACCGAACCTTAGCACCCCTCAGCTGCAGGTGGCATCAGTGCAACTAAACTACTGAAATTCCACAGAACAACTGCGCACGTGCTCCCCGGAAGGAGCTGTTCGGCAGTGATCACACGTGTGGATGAGCGACTTGACCAACATGTGATACAAGCCTACAGGGGCCTCATTCACGTCATGTCATGTCATGTCATGCCAGACGTGTCATAGAGCCTGGGAGCAATGTCTTTAACCGAAGTTTGGGGCTCTGAGCTGCCGACGCTGGGGTTCACGTTTGGCTTGATGGGCCTGATTGAGTGTGCCTGTGGAAGCTCCCCGAGTCTGCCATTCACCAATGCTCGACATTCTTCAATGTGAACCTCAAGTGGAGCTTGTTGGACATTTCACAGTCGTTTTAGTCGCCTTGAAAGTGCAAACTCGTACAGCTCTGGTTCGAACCTGTGTACCGCACTTAAGAGCAGCCCTGCCTCCTTTACAAGTAAGGCAGCACTGCATGGTCGCCGTGTTGGATCCTTCCCGGGGCTTCCGAACTGGAGACTGCCAAGTGGCCTTTCGAGACTTGCGGCCCGCACCCGGGCCGGATCTGCTGAGGGATTCGTGATGTGCAGGGATTGCACCTTATATATCAAGGAGGTACTGCACCAGTGACTACTGACTGTTTTTGCACATGGATCATTTGCCACAATGTCTTTTTCATGTGTCATGTTTAGTCATGTTGACTCGGTGGGCCGGCGGAAAGTGACGTGCGTCGTTTCATTTCGAACACTTATTACCACTAATGTGACAGCCGGGCTGGTCCCGCTGCGCCGCAGAAGGTGTACAAATAGTGCTTTCGCAGGAAAAGGCGGCTGAGAGGTGACTTACTGTTGTTTGTTCTTCGACAATGTGCTGGTTCTGGACCACGGCGAGGTCTAGCCGAGTCTAGTCCGAAAAGTCGCTCAACACTAAAACCCAGCAGCCAACATACAGCGAACCACAGCAACCAACAAGCAGCAATCAGCAGCCGCAGCGACCAGCAAAGTATGCTACTGAAACCTTCTTCAAGCGAAAATAAAACAATTGTGTGATCCGACCTCGCGCAGCGACGAAGGCAGCACCAAGCTCAACCGGCATCAACGCTCCGAAGTCTTGTAAGCCCGTGCATGGAAGACATTGCATGGTGAATGTAATTGCTGATGAACGTGGCGGTTGTGTGAGTGGCAACTGCTGGATGCAAGCACAAGGTAGAATTCGGGTTCAATCACAACTCAGATGACAAAATCGAGCACACGTTACTGTACTGGGAACCAAGACTTATGACCCCACATGCACTGCATGGCTTGGTAGTTCCAAGCCCTGCGTTCAAGGGACCCTAACCTTCTAACCAGGAGTGCACAAGCAACGCAACTTAACAGCGAAGCAGTGTGGCAGGCCTAAGAGCTGTCATCGAAAACCACGCAAAGCAGGGCGCAGTTCACAACCCACAGGATCGTTTGCCGTGCTACCCCCCCCTTTTTGGAGCAGTACTGGGGCTGGTCTGTGCTGTCAGTGCTCCAAGTCCCACTGGTTAAAAGAACTCCTGATGGTGTGATCTTTTCACGGTCCCTGTGTGGCTCGGACTATCGGCACCGCGATCCTCGCCGCGTCCTGTCACCATCTTCTGCTTTTCGTTTCATGTGGCTCGCCGTGCTGTTGTTGCCAGCATGCGGTGCCTCATCCTGTAAATCATGTCTTGTTGGGTTCTGGGTCTTAGCTGGTCTTCTTGCCTCTCAACTGTCAGATGCTTGGCTTTCTTGATAGTGTTGCCGTGAGGACGATGATGAGGATGCAGGCAAATAACGTTTCCGTTGGTTGACATGACATCGATGGTGATGATGATGACGAAGACGGACAAAGACAAACCACGATGACGACGAATGCTTATCTTTCTGTCTAGTACAGGGAGTCGGGTACGGAACATGAGACTGGTGCAGTATTGTGGATGTTGAAGAAGCCCTAAGGTGCACCAGGAATGGCGGGCAGGTGCCAGATTGGTCATCGGTGGCCTCCAGAGTAGCCGCTCGACTGGAACAGACCTTGCATTTGGTGGAGCTTCAGCCCCTTCACCAGCCGAAGCCGGCTCGAGTTTATCGAAAAGCCGACCATGGCTTAAGTCTTGGCGAGCCAAACTTCTGGGAGGATGAGAAGTAGTGCTGGAGTGGTAGTTGTCGCATCTTGAAGCAGCAGATGGTGGAGTTGATTGTGTTGCGCTTTGTTGCTGTTGTGATCTTTCTGTGTGTGCCTGAGCCGAGGCAAAATGAGGCCAGCGTCCGCGCAACAATCGCGGGATGGCAGAGGATCTAAATCTGGGAATCTTGCATACGTAGGCCTTCAAGCGTAAGAGTGTGCGGCTTTTGGCTGCAGGGAGTTTGTTTTGGAGGCTGTCTCCGGTTCAGTGTATGAACGGCTAAGTCCATGCGAGTCTATCCAACACTGGCACTGGCTTACAATCCATCAGATCTTTCGTATCTGTTGGCGCATGAATGACGGAGTAAGCCTGACGCTTGGATCATCTAATTCGGCGAATTCCGAGCCCTATACATTACAGGATCAGGAAGTCTCGGCAACACAGTCGCACGTGAAGCCAGATTCCAGCCTACTAGTATGCTCAGCCTAGGGCTGACGGTCTTGCGGTTGTGCACTCTGTCGGGGGTTTCGGTGGTCGGTGGATAGAGCCAAAGGATGCCAGAGGCCAAAGGCCTCTAAGTTTTGTTGATAGCACTTGCGGGTGCTTAGCTCTCGAGTCAAGCTCCTCCATCCTGGCGCACTCGCATGGAGGCATTTGAACGGCCGCACGGTGCACGTTTGCGAGCACCGGCGCTACGGTGGGGACCTCGGACCTCGGACCTCCTCTGCTCAGGACTCGACCCGACCGGCGTAGGCAGGTCAAGAGCATGTAAGAAAATTTCCGAATCCTGAACGGCCCATCTCCCATGGCATGGCCCTGCGCAGCTGGCGCATGACAGCCCTCTATAGGCAAAAAGCCATCCCTCCACCTCTGACACAGTATGACGGCATGACCGACCGAAGCCCCCCTGCACAAGACTGTCCCCAAACACGACTCTCCGAGTTCCAATCTCACCTGCCGAGGTCACCCCTGCTTCGTGCAGCCATCGGCTTCGCAGGGAACCAAGGAACAGAAGGCAGAACCTGTACCTGTTGGGGGCGAGAGGGTTGCCTTGTAGTCTCAGGACGTTACATCATAGACGAATAAATGCGCGGCAGGACAAGCTGACTCTGTGCGTCCGGCTGGACGACCCGATCCCTGAAACTGGGTTGCAAGAATTAAAGCAGTTCGCTGGCCGCCGTGACTTCCTTCGAACCGGGGACCAGTCACTACCGGCCGCAGCATCACGGCTTTCGTGTTCAATCAAGATCAGCTTATCAGCCCAGGACCATGCAACCGCCCTGCTGCTGGAGCCCAGTGAACCCGACGGCAGTTATGAGATAGTCTTTCTGAAAAGCTGTGCCCAAGTCCAACCTCCCAAGGATTCCTGTCCCCGTACATTCCGAAAGAAGAGCGGGCACCGACAGTGCCCAAGCTCTGCCTCCCCGCGCAGAAGGCCAGGCCAGGATTATATTCCAGGGGAAAAGCAGACTTCTTCGAACCTGCAGGAACGGACACATATCCACTGGAGTGATTAGATTCTCGAAAGAGTAGCCCCCAGGGCCTAGCTGGTGTCATGTGACAGCAAAAAGGAGTAAGCAGAAAATGCCGCAAGAGGAGATGCAAGAGCAGACCTGGGATCCCGAAAGTCACCAGACCGCGCCAGATGGAATGGACTCGAGTCTTCATTTGAGCCTGGGAAATCTCGCGAGAGAGTACAAGAGTCGTCCAGGAAGCGACGGGCACGCTACTGAGCTCCAGCCGCAGCGGCAGCAGCAGAGGCCATTCCCTTTCGATGAATTTGCTGTGTGGCGATAACAGTAGCCAAGGTCCATCCTCAGCAGGTTCGGCTGAAGCCGCAGCCCATTCTTCAAACCCCTCCGGTTGCTTGATACAGAGAAAAACGCTCAAATCCCATCGCCTTGTTAAACAACAACAGCCGAAGGGATCTCAGTTTTAACCTCTTGCATGGTTATGAAGTGAGCATACGCTGGCAGTATTTAGCCGATGTCAACCCTAGTCCTAGCTGCCCATGCTCTAATTACACAGGCCATTGTCTTGCTCGAGCTGTGTTTGGCAGGTGAGACGGACTCAAAGAACTCCCCAGTGTCCCGCAGCCGCAGGGTCCCAAGCACCGTCGAGGCGCATGGGCAACGAACAACGGCATGTGCAGCATGCCTTGATCCACGTTTGGATCTTTTGCTCGCAGGGCAACGAATACAGGACTATTTGCAAGAACTTCGTCGTGCGCCTGACAACTATTGCTTTGTGTCTTCCGGAATCTACCAGTGGGCTTACAGTCCAGAATGATTGAAAGGCAATGTTTTCCGCATTCATGTGCTCGGTTGTGCTCATTTCACGCTCTTGTGCATGGCAGTCCTCCGTGACAAAGATCGATTGCCTTCTGCAGCCGTCTTAGAGGTTCATGGCTAGTCACAGGTATTGGGTCCATGGCTTCTGAAGGACTCGATTGAGCAGGCAAGATGCCCAAGACACCGAATGCAACAGTGGATGACTTGGAGGCGGCGAAAACAGAGCTGAAGGCCCTCATAGCCAAGGTAGCCAAAGCAGGCGCTGAGGCCCAAGAGAACTGCCAGCCGGCCACGCGTGTGCAAAACAATGTGGACGACTTGAAAGAAATCGTTAAGCAGAATGCGAAGCAGGCAGCAGAGGCAGTCTCGAGGCTTCAACAAGGCGGACAGGCAGACTTGGAGACCGCGGTAGCAGACTTAAAGAACGAGGTGTTGGGGGCGCTCGCCAAGGAGGAGGAAGCACGCACCAGCGGGCAAAGCCAGCTCGATGGACAGATCCAGCAGCTGGACGAAGATGTGCGCAGTGCCTTCGCGGATGAGCTGACGTCCCTGTGCGCAAAGATTGAGGAGGAGTTTGCCTCACTTCGCCAGGACCTCACGCAGCTGATTGAGACCAAGACGAAGGAGGTTTCGGAGAAGGCTTCCAACATCGAGACCCAGTTGACAGCTCAGCTCTCCGAATTCCGCCAAGAGGCAGCAAACAAGGACGCGGAGATCTGCACGATGCTCAGCAGGAACCTGGAAGCAGCAGTCGAAGCTGAGGCCCAGGTCGACCGGCAGATGAAGCAATCTGCTGAGAAAGACCGGAAGGAGCTGGACGCCGAGGTTGCGCGCTTGGATCAGCTACTCGCGGAATGCCGCAGCACAGCCGCGAGTGACACGCAAGCATCCAGAGAAGAGGTGTCACAAGCTTTGACGGACTTCAAGACCGAGTCCTGGAACAGGCTGGCACAGATGGACGATCGCGCAGATCAGCAGCAGGATTTCCTTGAGATGCTGGACCAAGTCCTGGCCCGGCGTGTCGAATGGCATTTGAAGGGCGCGAGCTCTTTGCTGGCACTCAGCACCCCAGGCAATCGCGCGGAGGCTGAATCTCCCTCCTCCACACGACAAAAGAGTTACTTCTCTCCCAAGTTCGCAGCAGCTGGTTGCAGAGATCTGCAGCTGGAGCTGCGCGTCTTCGCGAGATCTGGGAGGCATTCGGCGGGCCCCGACAACTGCAGCCTATACTTGTGGTGTCCAAAAGGCGTGCAGATGCACCTGCGCTTCTTTGTGGGCGAAAAGTGGGCCACAATGGAAAAGTCGCCAGTGTCCGACGGCCCTGCGGGCGCACGGAAGATGGGTCTGCTTCAGGACCACATCAATGAGGATGACTCGCTCCACGTCGGTGTGGAGATATTGGAAGCCATCAAGGAGGTCAGCCAGGCAACTGGCGAGACCTCAGCTCCAGCCGAACCTCTGCAAGGTGCAGAGGAGAGCACCCGGAATGTGTACAGCAACGGTGTGCTGTCTTTCCAGCGCCATGTCAACCATCGAGTCTTATCCCAGGTGAGGAAGGAGGTTGACAAGATGCAGTGCAAGATGGTGAAGCGGGTCGAATGGCTCCTCTCCGAAGTCGACCAGCTTCCCAGGCTCTTTCCCCATGACCAGCCCGTTTGCAGCCCGGTTTTCTCGGCCGCCGGGATCGATGGCATGCAGTTCATCTTCTACCCCATGGGCTATCGGGACTCCACCGAGGGCTTCTGTTCCCTTTTCCTGTATTGTCCTGCTGGAGTGAACATCAAGTGCAATCTCAATGCCGGCAGCCAGAAGCGAGATGCTAGCAACCACTTCAGGGAAGCAGGCGCCTTCGGGCGTTGCAACTTCTGCAGACTGGACAGTGCTGTGGATTCGGACACGAACACAGCTCTTCTATACCTGGAGATCGATGAGGTGATACAAGAGAGCAAAAAGAGCTTGGAGGAGGAAGGCAGGGGAGGCAAGAAGCCACCTGCCCTGGAGCTGGAGAGCGCTGCTCCCCAGGCTGCAGGTAGTGTGAAGCTCACGCGAATCGGTAACAAAGACTACTTGACAGAGGTGAGGCGGCTTCCATCCATGTGGACGGATCAGAAGCTGGGGGATTTTGTCAAGAAGCCAGAAGGTTTCCGCAATTTCAAGGAGATGATAGGGAGGCCTGCCCCAAAGCTTGTGCCTCCTGCGAGTGGAGGGAAGCCTGCCGAGAACACGGTGGCACCGCAAAGTGGAAGAGCTCCACCAACGCCCGGGGCGGCTCAGATGGAGTCTGCCCGTGCTGCTTCAATGCCTGCGCTACGTTCAGACCGAGGGCTCGCCGACATGGCAGGTCCGGACACATTGCCTCTCCTCTGCGGTCCTCAGGGCGAGTTTGGCAGTGATCAGGGCTACGGTTCCCCCATGCTGTGGGCAGGCAAGTCGCGCAAGGCCAGAAGTACGAATAACTTCCGTCAGAAGGACCTGAGATGATTTGAGATTGCATCCTACCGTTTCACAATCCCTCCAGCCTTGCCCCTTGGAGCATGGGAGCTCAGCGCTGAGCGCTAGCTTGTCCTGCTCGCAAGTCCTGGCGATTGCACCAGCCCAAATTCAAAGGCGCCCCGTTTCACAGCAAAAAACATCACTGCTGGGGAGGTTGTTGCGTGGGCACCAACACAGAGAGGAGACATGCAGTCCCTTGACATGCTTCAAGACTCCGGACTCCCCGAACCGGAAACAAGTTGAACTGCAGCCGAAGATTGACTAAACCAAGCAGCATGATGCCCAGACGGCGCGAGCTCCACCGGCAGCGCCGTCCTCTTGCTCGGGTGGATTTTTGGGCCTGCTCTCTTGGTCCCTCGGCTTGGGCGGGCCCCGGGGGCTGTCCTGTCGTGGGATTTAGGACTCAGGCCGTTGCCTGGTTCCAAAGTGTGGTCTTTCATGCAGTTCAAAACATCGATATTCATTCTGTTGGTGGTAGAGTCAGTGGTAGAGATGCTTGGAATCTGTCGCCTATAGGCAGAATTTTGACGAAGGCCGCAAGACTTGAGAGGCCCGCTGTTTGTCTGTGCTCCATTGCTTTATCAGCTATGGTGATGAGTATAGTTCGTGCAGATACAAATCAGAAAATACATGTTATACTGGTATACTCATCCAGGGACAAAATACAAAGCAGTACAACCACTTCGTTTCAAGGTTGGTTGAGGCGCAGAAGTCGCCGGAGGAGGAGCATCCAACAGCCACCGGTCGAAATGGAGATCGGGATTCGTTTGAGAAATTATGAGGGTGCATTTGCACCGGCTCCAGAGCTGGAGCAGGTGTTGCCCAGAATGGTTTGAAACTTCGAGTTACCGTCGGACGTAGGCACGGATGAGAGACACCATAATTCTTAAATTCCGAACGACTTCCAGCTAGACAGACTGGTAGCCCCCCGGCATAAAACAGACGTAGCCTGAGCCGGCGCAGTTCCCGCAATCGGCAGTCGGCGATATCACAGCTGACCAGGTGTGCAGGTCCGCGTCGATCATTACTGTCGACGAGGAATCGCCCAAACACAGCCATCGAGGCGGTTTGCTTCCAATTCCCGTCGCTTGGCGAGGGGACATATGTAACCCCAGAAAATGAAACACAATTTTTAATTAAGCATAACATTTGTCCTGATTTCCTTTCTTTCTGTTTCTTTATGCATCCGAAGCAATCGTCAGCTTGGCCAAGCACGGCATGCCTTTCTTAAAGCGGGCTCCTTAACCCAAGAATAGGCTTTTTTGGGGGGGCTCTTTGCCCCAGCGCCAACCTCCCCTAGGAGCTGGCTCCGGGAGATGAGCGGATTTTGGGTGATGACCTTTGTGGTGGCCAGGTGCCAGAGCCGCGGGCCTCAGTTTTGTAGCTATTTGTGCTACTTTGAGAGTGTTCAGGGGTCTGGGACGTACATTAATCAGGGCCTTTGGGATGATGTAGCAAACTACAGGAGCGTAATTGTCCCGACTGTTTAACTTCCAGACTTCTCTGCTTTTCGACGCTCTCCTGTACGCGATCAGCCTCATGCAACTGCCTCTGCTTGTGTTCCTTTGGTGTATAGTGTCAAGACGGTTTCTCTCCACTTCGAAAACCACGTGGGCCAAAGGCAAGGGGACCTGGTTATCCTGGGCCGCGGCGTCAACTCGCAATACCAGCTGTGCTCTGCAGTGATCAAGGCCAGAACTCAGGGCAGGTACACTTTCGGGCAGCGTTTTTGTCGGTTCATTCATGTGGGCACGAAGCAGGGCTCTCTAGGAATTGACAATAAGTGCCCGGACAAGCACTCTAAACAGTGCACAGCTTCTACATGCGAGCTGCAGGGTGGGCGGGCCTGGGAGATCAGGTACTTTCAAGACCACCTGCTGCAGCCTGAAATTTGGCAAGAAAGGCATCCTTGCTTCCCCTGATGTACTTCAGAATATTGCACACGCTGCCGTTCCAGACCCCCTTTGACGCAGGAAGTGCATGCAGATTTCTGCAGTGAGCCTTGGCAAACGATGGCGGCAAACTAGTTCAAAAGCGTTTGCCAACTAATGCTCAGTACGTCCGGAAGTCGTGTAGTCGAAGCTCTCTGCTCACGGAAACTGCATGATGTGAAGGCAAGGGTTCATGCCGCGAATTCAGTAGCCGCAAGAGATTGAGCCTCTAGTGACTCTAGAGATGTCATGAGTGGTGGGAGGTACTGCTATTTGGTGGCTGTGGGTCGAACGTAGCTAAGCCGCTCTGCAACTTGAAGTCAGAAAGCTGGATCCCGGTCTAAGGTGGCCGTTTTGGATGCCTCACGCAGCTTTTCCACGGGCGAGTGCATCGCCAAGTTCCGCGAGGTAATTCCAGTGCCTCAGCATGTGATAGTATCGTTGCAGCAGCGGCTGGCAGCAGAAATGGTCAACTCAGTTGCCTGCTGTGAGAGAGCTGGCTCCTAACAGCCAACACTAATAAGACGGCACCATTGGGCTGTAGCATGTCATGCAGGACAGGGAGATCTGAGATCGGCTGATGAAGGGCATGAAGTGCTTGTAAGGCTGCATCTCAACGAGGTCGGTGAAGAAGATAACTGCTCCTTCCCTTGAGCAGACATGCCTTGCGACTGCACCCAGGTTCATCAGGACTGGCGTGTGGGAACTCGTCTTGTTGTGGGCGGGCTACAGAGCAGCCACATGAGGCCATTCTCGACCAAAGCAGAGCAATACTATGCGTTGCGACTCTTGTCCCACCTGTTCATTTGGGTCCGGGGTAGTCCTGTCAGCTGCCCGGCCAATACGTAGCTGAATCATGACTAGTGCCTTTTCAGTGTACTATTTCTCGAAGCAGCAAGAAGGAAAGTAGAGCCTGACGGACAAATTGACGCCAAACTACAAGTAGCAACGGCAAGTGTTCACGGGAATTTCGCAGGACAACCATCCCGAGTCATGTGAAGACGGAAGAGCCCTTCGTTTTGCGTAGTCTGGAAGTTATTGTCACGAGGCAGCCAGCGGCTGTTAGTGGGCATACTGTACGAAGCCAATTTTTCGCGTCGCAGGGTCTAAGTTCTGAAGTAAGTGCAGCCTGTGCATCCCAGCGAAATGCTTTATCGCGCATTGCAATCTCGGAGGCACCTGAATGGGCTGTATGCACGTGTCTGCCCCCACAAGCGATTTGGCCACTTGGCAGACTTTGGATTGGTTCCCACACGTTCCTCGGAGGTAGCAGCATGCCCCCCAAGTGCGCCTAAGTTTCCTGACTCATGTTTAGACCTGCTGATGAACCGTGTCTGAGGGTAACTCACATTGAGGCCAGGGTTTGGTCAGGAAGGCGGTTAAGTCGTGTGGCCCCACGTTGCTTACGTAGCGTCTCGTCGCGAGGTCGCCTCAACTCGCCACGGCTTCGAGCTAGGCTATATAGGGTTCCAGGGTCCTCTACAACTTCAAGCTAAGCTCGTGCACGGTGTGCAGCATCATCGACGAGAGCCGAGCCATGAGCGCCAGCCACAAACCTGCCTAAGCAAACTGCCTTCTCAAGGTCATCCCTGCTTGATTCAGAAGCCCTCTGCGGCCAACGGGGCTTTGTGGCTGACTCTTTGTGTACGATTCGAGGCGCAGCCCAAATTTTCGCAAGTACGTTGGGCGATGGGTCTGTGGCACTAACCTAGTCCAGATGCCACGACTCCACGAAGCTGACAGCGCAAAGACATACAACGACTGCTTCAGCTCGACCTTCCAACCTTATGCATGAAGCCAGGAATCGAATTCTAGCTCTGCCTGCTTGTTTGTGATAGGGCGTATTCTTTGTGTGAGAGATTGAAGCCCAGAAGCTGCGCATATGAAGGTTCCGTTGAGATTATTGGTGTTCCCCAACAGTTCACTGAGACGAGGTCTGGTTAGTTGTTAATTTGAAAGGGCATATTTGACGTTTCGCAATGGGTGGCTTGTCCCCCATTGCCTTCTTTCCTTTGGGACCGGTGGGGGGGCATGCCAGAGAAAATTTGCCGCAGAGGAGCAAGCCGCTTGAAAGGCACCAGAAAACTTACGAAACAAGAGCAAACAGCTCGAAAGATATCGGAGATATTGATAAAGACTAGAGTCACTAGAGAAGTTGTGGGGCACTGCTGGAGTCATTGAAAGAGACTAAAGGATTGCAAAAAAGAGTAGCTGGGAGCAATCGGCTCCTAGGGGAATTGAAGAAGGGGAGAATTTACGACAGAGGAGCAAGGGGATCTGACAACAACCAGAGTTTACGAAAGAGGAGCAAGCCATCTGAAACGGAATGACGGCGCCAAGATTTGACGACGGGGACAAAGCACTCGAACGCGACTAGAGAAATTGAGACAGAGCAAACCAGTGGAAAGGAACTAACAGGAGCAAACCGCTTCAAAGAGCTTATTTTGAGAGCCGGAGCAGGAGGAGCAAATCGCTCGATTGGGGCCAGGACAGTTGACAACAAGGAGGCAAGAAGAATCATTCAAAAGGAGCCAACCAATCGAAAGATACTGGAAAGTGGCCAAAGAGCTGAGGGGAAGTTGCGAAAGGGAAGCCAACCCGTCGAAAGGGACTAGAACGTTTAGAAAAACACATGCAAACTAGTCAAGGTATCGGCACAGGCGAGAACGTCGATAAAGATCGGCCAGCCTGTCGACCAGACAGTTTGAGACAAAGGAACACCCGCTAGATGACTAGAATGTCACAAAGAGGAGAAGTTGGAAAAATGAGCAACACTGTCGAAAGGGACTAGGAGATGTGCGATACAGGGGCAAACCCTTCGGAAGAGACTGAAACTTGACAGAGAGAGGACTTGGAATACGGGCACGGAAGGAAATAGAAACAATAGCATCACCGTTTGAAAGAGATTCGGCGCATCGGCACAGCGGAGGACTCGTGACTTGACAAGGCTGGGCAAACCAGTCGAAAAGAAACAGAGTGTCTGCGAAATTGGAGCGAAGCGCTCGAAAGAGACCGGTGCGTTCGAAAACGAGAAGCAAACTGCCTCAACGAGACCAGAGTGGAGATTCTCAGTTGAAGAACGAGGAGCAAGCCATTGAAAGGGACAAGACTTTCGCAAAGCAACAGCAAACCGCAGGAGCAAATCAGTTGAAGCACACTAGAGAATTTAGCAACGAAGAGAATTCGAGAACAAGACCTGGCCGGTTTCAAGGGAATAGTCAATTTGAGGAACAGGCACAACCCGCTTGAATCACGTTCGAAAGGGACTAGAGGCTCAGGCTGTGACAAACCGGACGCGTGAAAGTGGCCAGAGACCTTGACAGGGGAGCAAGCTGCGCGAAGGCGACTAAGACATTCGACAAGGAGAACTCAAATAGGAGGAGCAAGCCAATCGAAAAGGGGTAGAGAATTTTGGAAACAGGAGCAAACCGCTCTGAAGACTCAGCGTGTTTAGAGAACCTGACAACACCGAGAGTTCGAGAAAGATAAGCCAACCAGCCGAAAAGGGAGTCGAAGATTTTCAGAAACAGCAGCAAACCGTCCGAAGAACACAAGAGACTCTTACAAAAGAGGATAATTTGAGAACAAGGAGGAGACCAGTTGGAAGGGACCAGGAAGTTCGAAAAAACAGGAACACTCCTGTCGGAATTGGCTACAGAATGTGACAAGCAGGAGAAAATATAAAAGAGGAGCACAACAGTCCAAGGGGACAGGAAGATGTGAGCACAAGAGTGTGCCGTTCGAAAGATGTCGAAAGGAACTAGAAATTTGACAAAGTGGACAGAAATTGAAAAAGAGGCGGCCGCTTGTCGAAAGAAATTGGTGTTTTAGTAGCGGATGCAGGCCGCCCGAAGAGATGCGAGAACTTAACGAAACACACGCATAAAGCAATCGAAAGGGATTAAAGCATCTGAGAAATTGGAGCAAGAAGGCCAAATCAGACTAGACAACCTGGCAAACAGGAGAAAACTGCTCTAAAGAGACTATGACATTTGGCACCGGGGGGAATGTGGGAAAAAGGTGCAAGGGACTAAAGCTAGAGAAACGAGAGCAGACCGCCCGAGACCGATTACAGATTTGGCAGGGAGGAGGATCTGGGAAGCAGAGGAGAAAGTAGTCGAACGGGACGAACAGCTGAGACACATGAACAAACCAGTCGAAAGAGACAGGAGAATTCGACAAAAAGTTGGAACTGAGCAGAAGGAACTATTCCCCCCAAAGAGACTAGGACATCTGACAAACGCTCGAAACAGACCCGAGCGTTTGACATAGAGGAGCTAGCTGCCCGAAAGAAGCCAGAGTAGAGCTTTTAGACAAACAAAGGGATCGAAGAAGACTAGAGGATTTGACGAAAGGAGCGAGACACTCCAATAGACTAGGACAGCTGACAGCAAGGAGAACTAGCCGGAAAGAGACTAGGTAGATAGTTTCACATAGTTTGACAAACAATACCGCTTGAAAGAGCCAAGGGAAATCCCCTCAAATGAGGCTCAACGACAAGGAGAACTAGAGGAACAGGAGCAAACACATCGAAAGGACATCGGAGCATGAGAGAAACAGGAGCAAAGCGCTCCAAAGAGACTAGATAGTTTGACAAAGAGGAGGCCTTGAGAAGGAGGAGCTAAACAGTCGAAACGGGCTGGAAAAACACAGAAGCCGAGCACGCAGTTCAAAAGGAATTGGAGATTGAACTCACTGGCAGCAAACCGCTTGAGACAAGCACGAGAACTCGACAAAAAGGAAGGTTTTGAGAACCAGGAGCAAATTTTTTTGAACAACAACAAAGACTTTGAGAAACAGGAGCCAGCTGGCCGAAAGAGATAGGAGAATCTGGGGATGAGGAGAGTTTGAGACAAGGAGAAAACCAGTCGGAAGGGACTAGAGAATCCGAGAAACAACAGCAACCCGGGCGAAAGAGACTAGATGGTTTGAGCAAAATGAACAGAACACTTGAAAGTGACAAGGCAGTTTGACCGAGAAGAGAATGTGACAGAAGCGTAGGCCGCTTGAAACAGACAAAAGCATTTGACAAGAAGGAGACTGTGAAGAAGAGAACAACATAGTCGAAAGTGATTAAGAACTTCCAGACGGAGGCACAAACCGCTTGCGAGAGACTACAACATTTGAGCAAGAGGAGCAGCACGCTCGAAAAGGACTAGAGGTTATGACAAGCCGGACAAGAGATTTGAAAAGGAACAAATCGCCTGAAAGAGTCCAGAAAAAGTGTGACACCGGGGAGCAGCCCGCTCGAAAGACAGTCTGTAATGTGACCACAAGGGGCAGTAAGCAAGGGGGTGAATCCAATCAGCAAGGGATAGCACATTTTGGAAACAGGATCAAACCGTTCTTAAGAGATTAGAGACAAATGGAGACAGGAGCAAAGCGCTCGAAAGCCTAACGAATCTGACAAACAGGAGGCCTGGAGAAATAGTAGCAAACCCTTTTGAAAAGGGTGTTCGATAATTTGAGAAACATGTAAGAGCAACCGCTCCGGAGCAACTAGAGAATCTGACAACGAGGAGACTTTGAGAAGCAAAATTGCGAATTGAAACGGCGCAAACTCGTCGAGGTTTGTTCTGGTTCCTCAAATGTACTAGTTCGTTTCGACTTTTCAGCACCTCTTTCGAAACATCCTCCTGTTTCTCAAGTAACTTTGGAGCGGTTTGCTGCTGTCGTTCAAGCTTTTGAAGTCCCGTTCGATTGGTTTGCTAGACTTTGGCTCTCCTTCTTGCCGAATTCCCTAGTCACATCGTCTCTTGCGAGCGGTTTGTTCCCCCTGCGTCAACGTCTCTTGTGAGAGGTTGGCTTCTGTTCCTATCGAAAATGTTTTTGATGTTTCTTAAATTCTTAAATGTTCCAGTGTCGTTGACGCGGTTTGTTGCGGCTTTGCAACTCATCCAGTTGCTTTCGACTACTTAGTTTGTTCCGTCCTGATTTTCCAGTTCTGTTTTTTGTCAAATTCTCTGGTCTGCTTCGAGTGGCTTGTTCCTGTTTGTCAAATTTCGCCTCCGCTGTGGTTGCTGTCGTTTTCGCACACTGTCAAGTGTGCAGCAGTATGTCCAAACGCCTCTTGAGGATGGAGTAGAAGCTCCCCGCTGTGAAACAGCACCCTGACACCGTCACAGCATACACGGCTGGACACGTCGGACATCGTCGGAAGCTCTGTTGACGACTCGTGTTTCCCACGTCCTACATGCCGGGTGGACGAGCGCTGCGCCGCCAACTTCACGACATCCCGATAGGCCAGCATGCTGGCAATCTGGCGGCACGCTTTGCATGCTGCGGAAACTTGCTGGTGCTTCATGTGCACCTGGAGGTTCATCAGGGATCGGAGCAGCTGTCGCATTGTCGCTGCAGGCAATGCAGACTGGTTTGCTTCTCCTTCAAGTGTTCGTTTTTGTCGCGTTCTCTTCCACTCGTTTCGAGCGGTTTGCTCCCATTTCTTCGATGTTCCTCTCTCTCAAAACCTCTACTCTCCTTGGAATGGCTTGCTCCGGTTTCTCAAAGTGCCAAGCCCCCTTCGACAAGGTTTGCGCTTGCTCCTTGAGATTTTCAGCTGTACAGTAGCCAACTTCTCTAACCTTTTTCGACCGGCTTGCGAGAGCGTGACCTTTTTCGACTGGTCTGCTACTGTTTCTGACATGTTCGAGTCCAAGTATACCGCTCGAAAGGGACTAGAGGATCTGACAAAGAGGGGAATTGAGAACAGGGGGCCATCCAGTGGAAACGCACCAGAAAACTCGAGAAACAACAGCAGCCCGACCGAAAGAGACTAGAAACCGCAAAGCAGAAGCGAACCACTCGAAAGAGACTGGAGGGTTTGACAAAGAGAGGCGGATTTGGGAAAGAGCTGCCAACCAGTCGAAAGGGACTAGAAAGTTTGAGGACAGGCGCAGACCACTTGAAGGTATTACAGCGTCTGAGATAAAGGAGCAATGCGCTTC